TTGTCCTAAGAAATGTTTTTTAGACATACGATATTTATGGCATTAACATATATTCTTTTCAAACAACACATCTTTTTACATGAAAGAGTCATACTTTTTCATATTTGAAGGATTACAATCTTTGGTTATAATTGTTTTTTTTTCTTCTATTGGTCTTAATAATTTTTTTATACTTAAACTAAAATTGCTATGAGCAGTTTTTTTTTTTTTTCAAACAACACATCTCTTTAATTTGAAGAGTCATACTTTTCCATAATTCTTGATTTTAAAATTTTTTTTTTAAGAGTTTCAGTCTCGTGGTTGTAATTATTATGGTTCTATCTAATGGTCCTGAAAATGTATTTGGTTGAACTTTTTTTTCCTCGCAACTCTTGAAAATATTCATTTTAAAACAAAACACAACTCTTGATAATCTATCAATGTACCTTTTCAGATTACTAAAAATAGAACGTTTTACAGATGCAATTTTTTAAGAAAATTTATGTGTTTTTTTTCTAATATAGGTATGATTCTTAGTACTCTTGAATATAATGTTTGATTCATTATATAGTTTTAAACGATCTTTGAAAATTTAATGTGGTGTCTGCAAAAATAAATTAATAGATTTAGTTTTAGTGAAACTAAACTACCATATCCAAACCAATCTGGCTGTAAGAAAACAACCTAAATTTTTTTTGTGTAATCTCTTATTCTACTTCTGATAAAGTCCATTTTTTTTTGTATTTCTAACTAGTTTGTATGGAGGTACTAAGCCTCATAGATATAAAAATGTCGTTCTTTGCATGATAATTACAGTGTTTTAAAATATATTATATTATTTAATTAAAAGATTTAAACTGTTCCATCATTTCAACAAATTTTAAAAGTTTGTCTTCTCATATATAAAAAGATAAAAGAAAATGACTGCGACTTTAATATTAAAGTTTACTTAATATTGTTATGCTAAACACATAACATTTAAANTACATTTACAACATTTCACATTAATTGATATTTTTATTAAGAGTCACAACATTTCATCTTGATTGACATTCACAACTTTTAGAATTAATTGGGATTTTTTATTAAGATACACAATTTTTATTTTATTTGACATTCACAACCTTTAGAATTAGTTGAGATTTTTATTAAGTGACAACCTCTCATTTTATTTATTAAGAGATACAATCTTTCAGTTATTTCTTTAAAGAGACACAACTTTTCATTTTGTTTTGTATTTTCAACCTTTCACACTAATAGACATTTTTATTAAGAGTCTCAATTTTTTTTTATTTGGCATTCACAGACTTTTAAATTAATCAAGATTGTTATAATTAGTAGATTTTTATTATGAGAAGACACAACTCTTATAACTATTTTAAATTTTTTTAAATTATTTTTTCTGAGACACAATTGTTTTTATAATGAAAAGATGCAACTTTTAAACTAATATATTTCATTTTTATGAAGAGATATAACCTTTCAAAAATTGTTATTATGAGAAGACACAATTCTTACAACCTATTTTAAATACTTTTAAACTATTTTTTATGAGACACAAACTTTTTTTATAATGAAAAAGATGCAATTTTAAAAATAAAAGAAATTATTTTATAAAAAAACACAATTCTATTTATAACAAAAAGATGCAACTTTAAACTTATATATTTTAGTTCTTATGAAAACATACACAATCTTTAAAACTAATATATTTCAGTTCTTTAAATAGACACAACTTTTCATTTTATTTTGTATTTTCAACCTTTCACACTTATAGACATTTTTATAAAGAGTCTCAATTTTCTTTTTATTCGGCATTCACAGCCTTTGAAATTAATCAAGATTGTTTTATTAGTAGATTTTTATTATGAGAAGACGCAACTCTTATAACTATTTTAAATATTTTTAAATTATTTTTTCTGAGACACAATTGTTTTTATAATGAAAAGATGCAACTTTTAAACTAATATATTTCAGTTCTTATGAAAAGATACAAGCTTTCAACAATTGTTTTGTTTTTCATATAATGGTCCAAATAAAATTTTTATG